CACCATCCCAGAGCCACAGCATTCCCATCCTTCCTGAGGGTGATACTTCACCTTCCCAGAGCCACAGCATTCCCATCCTTCCTCAGGATGATGCTCCATCCTTGCCGGTGTGGCAGAGGCAGGGCCTGGCTCAGCAGCCCTGTCCCACGGGCAGCCAGGCTGCTCCATGAACTTCCCAAGGACATCCAGCAGCATTCCAGGAGTTTCTGAGCACCCCCAGCTCCCGTGCTGGGTGACAAAGGGACTCGAGAAGGTTGTGCTCTGGGATCTGTGGCCTCACATCCCACGGGCCATGGAATGTTGGAGCACCAGGAGCTGAGAGCACTTGGATACAGAGTTACCCCTGTTCCATCCTGGTCATGATCCTGAGGGGCCAAACCCTCAGTCCCCAACTCCTCCAGAGCCAGGAGCCATTCCCAGAGGCTCTGGAGCTGCCTGGCACCACCGGCACCACCGGAATTCCCCCTCACTCCCATCCGTGCTCAGGTTGGGATGGGCTGTAGGCATTTTCCTGGTGGAAAATCATCTCACAGACCCAAGGGTTCGTCTCCTCCAGGGGTTGTGGCCGTGTCCACTCTTCCCATCCCCTCAGTGCCCACCTGGAGCCTCAGGAGCTGCTCGGGATCTGTGGGATGGGCCCCTCGGTGCCGGGACATCCCTGTGTGGTGACACCAGGGGCCGAGGGACGGGGCAGAGCAGGGTGAGAAACGGCTTTTCCCACCCACGGGAGGTTTGGGGAGGAACAACAACAGCAGCTGGGGATGGAAACATCCCAGTGTGGGGTTCCTGGCAGGGAAAAAGCCATTCCTGCCAAAACTGCTGGCAGGGACACAGCGGCTCGAAGCTCCCGGCGCTTGCGGGGGAGTTCAGGGAAAGCAGCTTCAGGAAAGCAGCTTCCCGGGGAATGTTTAAGGCATCCTCCCTCCCCACGGTGCTCCCTGAAGGGTGTCCTCACCCCAACACTGCCCAGCCCCGGGGGGACACCCCAGGGGTGTCACTGGGAGGGACACGGGGACATTTCCCCTCCTCGGATCCCCCTCCAGCGCTTGGAGCTGAACTGTCGGGGTCACGCTCCGCTGCGGGGGGGTCCAGGATTTTCCCACCCCCTCCCACCCCCTGCCAGCCGTCCCCGGGCCCGGGATGCAGAGCCGGGAGCGCAGGACGCGTTTACGAGCGCTCAGGGACGGTCGCTGTCAACTCGATGTCCCCGACACGGCTCTCGCTTCCAGCGGCGCCGGGATCGGAGGCGGTGGCTCCATCCCCGCGGTCCCGCTCCGTGTTCCCGTTCCCTGTTCCCGACCCGTGTTCCCGGCCCGTGTTCCCGCCGGCGGCCGCTTTGCGACATCATTTTGCATTTTGCTCACCGTTTTTGCGCTTTTCACGGTTTTCAGGACCTGAAACATCAGTTCTGGGAGCTGGAGGCCTCCGCGGGTGCCCGGGATGCGGGAGGGCGGGAAGAGCCACTTTTGTTCCAAATCTTCAGTTTTCCTCCCCGGGATGCTGAGGGTGCCCAGCCCAGGTCCCCAGGAGGTCCTGGGGAATTCCCAGCACCCCAAAGGTCCCAGGCAGGGAGAGACATCTTCCCTCCCTCCCCATCCCGGTAGTGTGATGGGATTTTCTGGGAGGGGTCACAGCCGGGGGGTCACAACCGGGGGGGTCACAGCCGGGGGGATCACTCCTGGGGGGTCACAGCCGGGGGGGTCACAGCTGGGGGAGTCACAGCCCCCCATCACTCCCCTGAGCCCCAGTGTCCAATCCCACACCCTCAGGGGGGAACAGGGGGATGTCACCCCTTTGGGACCCCCCTGAGCCTCCCTCACTGACCCCCGGTCCCACGGGCAGGGTCGGGAGGGTTTTGGGGAGCAGCTTTGTGGGGTTTGGGTGACGAGAGCCAGTTCTGAGCCCCCCCCGGCACCAGGGGCCACTGAGGCACGTGCCTGGTGCCCGCGGGTGGCCCCGCAGCCCGGGGCTTTCCGTGGCATCCGCGGCGCTTCCGTGGGAAGCCGGAGCGGGGGCTTCCAACCCAAAAAGCCCCCCCGGGGCAGGGGGGCAGCACTCGGGGGGTGGGGCACTGTTCAGGGCAGGACCTCGGGGGGCACCCGGGTAGCCCCCAGGGGCTGCAACTCTGCCTGGAGCGGTGGGATGGGGGGAGTGGGCAACGCTGGGAATATGCGGAATTCGGGTGGCCCCTGCTGGCACCGTGTCCCCACTGTGCTGGCACCGTGTCCCCGCGGCTGCCCCTCCCCTGGGCCGGGCCCCCCCGGCCGGGTTGTGCGGTGGGAAGGAAGCGATCCAGCCCTTCCCAGGCTGGGTGGGATCCATCCCTGCTCCCGGTGTGCCAGCGCGGGCCTGGGGGACGCGGGGGGCGGGAGCCCCTCCCCGGGGGGGTGTCCTTGGCACTGAGGGCACCAAGGACCTCGGTCTGCTCGGGGCATCACCCTTCACCCGCGTTTGCACCACTCCTTCCACCCCCATCCTCCAGCTCCGTGCTGGGGTGGGAGGTGGTGCTGATGGTGCTGATGGTGCTGATGATGGTGCTGATGGTGCTGGAGATGGTGCTGGAGATGGTGTTGGCGAAGATTTTCCCCCCTCACGCTGCAGGTCCCGGCTCTGGAAGGCCCAGTTTGCCCCCGGGAGAAGCTGCCTGCCTTTGGAGCAGCAAACTGGGCGAACTGGGCGGGAGGGGCCGGGTTGCCCAGCGCCTGTCGCTGCTCCCGGGCTGGGGTCACCGATGCCACCGCGGTGGGGACACAGCAGCCTGGCCTGTCCCCGCTGTCCCCGCTGGCTCTGGAGCTCGCTCCCAGCCCCGTTCCCGTCCTCTCCCAGGTTTCCTGTCCGGGCGGCATTTCCATGGGCCGGGCCTCAATTCCCGGAAAGCGCTACCTCATCCCCGGCGGGAGCCAGGGACGCAAACACGGGCGGAGCCCCCGCCCTGACCCCCCCCCCCCCCACCCCCCCCCCCCAGAACCTTCCCCGGCCCCGGGGCGGCGATGCCAGGCAGGGCTGGGGGGGCTGAGACACCCCCCGGCCACCTCGACCCCCAGCAGCCCCAGTACAGCCCCAGTACAGCCCCAGTACAGCCCCAGTACAGCCTCGGTACAGCCCCAGTACAGTGACCTCAAAAACCCAAATGATCCCAACTCTCTCAATGATCCCAATGATCCCAGTGATCCCAATGTTCCAAATGGTCTCACTGATCCCAGCGATCCAAATGATCCCAGTTATCTCAGTGATCCTAATGATTTAAACAATCCCCATTATCTCGATGATCCCAGCAACCCCAGTTATCTCAGTGATCCCAGTTATCTCAACTATCCCAATTATCCCGGTGTTCCCAACCACCTCAGCTCTCTCAGTGATGCCAGCGATCCCGAGTGTCTCAGTTATCAGGATGATCCCAATGATCCCGGTGCTCTGCCTGTGCTTTTGGGCCCCCCCCCGGTCAGTGTGTTCCCATCCCAGAGACCTCTGGGAGAGGCAGGACGGAGACCCGGGATCTCTCCAACCCCCGGGACCCCCCAGCTCTGCTCCCACCCCCGGGACCCCCCAGCACAGCCCAAGCCAGGAGCCCCCTCTGGGGAGGGGCACGGCCCGGGGGGGCTGTGGAGCCGGGCTGGGGCTGGATGTCGGGACAGACGGACAGACGGACGGACGGAGCCGCGGGGCTGTGCCGGTGTCCCCCCGGGGTGGAGAGGGACAAAAGCGGGAGAGAAACGCGCCAGTTCAGACAAATGCAGGGGCACTGGAGTGCTGGGGGCGCCCCGGGGGTGACCCCGCACTCCGGCTGGTTTGGGACCCCCCTGCCCCCCGTGGGGTCCGTCCCCCCTCGGCGGCCGCAGTGCCCCGAGCGGGGAGCGGAGGTTCCGCGCCCGGTGGTGCTGGTCCGGCCTCCTCCTCCTCCTCCTCCTCCTCCTCCTCCTGCTCCCGCTCCCACATCTGCAGCTGGAATTGCAATTTGAGGCGCTGCCTGGGCCGGGACTGCGAGTGGGAGGAAGCGGGAGCGCGGGGGGCTGCGCGGGGCCCGGGCGGGGACGGAGCCGCGGGCAGGACGGGGACAGAGCCACCACCCCGGAGGGCAGGACGGGGACAGAGCCACCACCCCGCGGGCAGGACGGGGACAGAGCCACCACCCCGAGGGCAGGACGGGGACAGAGCCACCACCCCGCCGGCCCGGGACGGCGGCGGCTGCGCCGAGGGGTCCCCGGCCCGTGTCCCCCCTCCCTTAGCGGTAAGCGGGGGGGGGGTTGGGGGGAGCGGGGGGGACAGCGAGGGGATCAGGGGATCAGCCTCGTCCCTTGCTCGAGGTGAGGGTGACACCTCCCCTGGGGGCTCTGCCCGGTTTGGGGACACTGGGGAGCGAGCACGGAGGTGCTGGGGGGTACCAGGACTCCCGGGCCTGCCCCAGGTGGGGATGGGGGCTGTGGGCACGGGTGGGAGTGGGGACGGACGCTCCCAGTGGGGTCTGTGCCCTGCACCCCGTCCCCTGCCCTGGGGGACACTGCTGTGACCCTCGGGGACACCGCAGGGACGGCACCGTGACGGGCCAGCGCCCTGCAGGGGCTGTGGCAGCCCGTGCCAGGGACAGCCCGTGGCTCCCGTGTCCCAGCCAGGCAGAGGGGACGGGGAAGGACCCCCCAAACTCCACGGAACCCCAAGAGCTCTGCCAAGAGGGCTTGCGGGCTCCCCACCCCCACAGCCGAGCTCAGCCCTGGCACAGGAGGGATGTGGGGGCAGACACCTCCCCCGGCTCCCACACGCCCGGGTCTGAGCTCCACAGTCACCCCGAGGGCCCCAGCCCCGGGGGACACCCCCAGTTGTGGGGACACCCCCAGTTGTGGGGACACCCCCAGTTGTGGGGACACCCCGAGTGCGGGGGCACCGTGCCCAGCAATCCCGTGCCGTGGTCAGCTGTGCCAAGGCCCCGGTGCCACAGCCCCGGTGTCACTCCCGGCCCCACCACCCTGTTCCCTTCCCAAACTTGTTTCCTCTCCCCGTTTCCTCCAGAGGCGGAAATGGTGGAAAGTCCTCAAAATCGCTGCTCCTGCACAAACTGCCGCAGGGGGGTCGGGATCTTCCAGGGATCCTGACCCTGGGGGCACGGCAGGGTCCACCTGTGCCCACCCACCGGGACTGGGGGGGTGCTGGGCTCTCTGGGCACCCCGAAACACCCCCAGCACCCAGGATGCCAAAGCCAGGTCTGCAGCCCTGCAGCAGGAGGGGCACAGCCGAGTGAAACCCCTCGGGGGGCTGGGGGGCACCTCGGGGGGCTGAGAACCCCCCATGCTCCTCGTCAGGACCCCAGGGAGGGGCTGGGGGGCACCCTGGGGACAAAGGGGGGGTCAGTGTCCCCTGGCCAGCCCTGGTTTGCCGGGGGGGAGGATTTGGGCCACTGGAGCCTGAGGGGCTGCACAGGCTTGGGACCGACCCCCCGGGCCCCTCCGGGCACAGAGAGACAGGGGACAGGACCAAGAGCCACCGAGGGCTGGAGAGTCCCTCCAGCTCGGGCCGATGGCCCCGTCCCCGGGGATGGGGACACGGGGACATCCCTGCACAGCCCCCATGGAGGGGGAAGACACTCCCGGGGTCACCCCCCGACCCAGCCCTGAGGGGGTCCAAGCCCCAGGAAACGTTTCTGCCAGAGGAGACCCAAATCCCAGCGCTGGGGGCTGATCCCTGGAGCGGGTCCTTGTGGGACAACATCCTGGAAAGCCCCGTTTTGGTGGAGTAGCCCCTGTGACAGTGTCAGCCTGCCAGGACCCCCCCCCACTCCCCACCCCCCCCCCCCCCCCCCCCCCCCCCCCCCCCCCCCCCCCCCCCCCCCCCCCCCCCCCCCCCCCCCCCCCCCCCCCCCCCTACCCCCCCCCCCCCCCCTGCCCTGCCAGCACCCTCCTCTGTGCTCTGCCAGGACCCCCATCCATGCCCTGCCAGGACCCCCCTCCATGCCCTGCCAGCACCCCCTTAGTGCCCTGCCAGGACCCCCAGCACCGTGTTCCCCGCTGTGGTCTGATCCTCATCCCCTGTTGCTCCCACACCGGGGTACCTGGAGCTGAACCCCCCATTCCAGGGAAAACTCCCCCCTGGCCCTTTTATCCTGAGGTTTTTTGGGGTTGGAGGCTGCCCGGAGCAGGCGGGGGGGGGCAGCGCGGGGGTGGCTTTGGCTCAGGGTGAGGCCTCTCCCGATGAGCTCAGCCCTGTCCCGAGCCCGCGGGATGGGAGCGGGATCACAGTGGGATGGGAGAGAGATCCGAGGGGGATAAGAGCGGGATGAGAGCGGCTGGAGAGGGGCGAGGAGCCCCAGAGGTGTTGGGATGCCCTGGCCTCGGGCAGAGAGCCAGGAGCGGGGTGATTATCCTGGGAAACAGTTTTGGAGCTGGTCGGTCCCAGCCCCTGGGATGAGCCGGGATCCTTTTGGCCATTCCTGCTCCTCGGCCAGCGCTTCCAGCGAGGCAACAAGTATAAATGCTTCCTAAATAACCCCAAAAATAACCTATTGGAGCCTAAAAATGTGCTGGAGCAGCACTTTGCACACATCTGTATCCCACACATCTGTATCCCACATATCTGTATCCCACACATCTGTATCCCACACATCTGTATCCCACATATCTGTATCCCACACATCTGTATCCCACATATCTGTGTCCCACACATCTGTATCCCACATATCTGTGTCCCACACATCTCTATCCCACACATCTGTATCCCACATATCTGTGTCCCATATATCTGTGTCCCACATATCTGTGTCCCACACATCTGCCTGACCTGCCCCACGAGAGGAACCCTGTTCCAGCCCCCAGGGTGGCCGTGGCAGTCAGTGACCCCCCGACCAGTGCCCGCTGCCCCCCCCGACCGGGACAGCCCCCGGGGCGGGCCCCCCCCCCCCCCCCCCCCCCTCCCACAGCCCACCGGGACCCGGGTTTTGGGGTCCTGGGAAGGGTTGGCCCCATCCCTGGTGGGTTTTTGAGGTGGCATCGAGTCTGTGCTCCCCCAGCCCCGCTCTGAGGGGCCCCCCCGGTGCCGAGGGGACCCCCGTCCCACTGTCCGTCCTCTCTTGCAGGCGGGAGGCGCGGCCATGGCGATGCTCCTGCAGCCCGGGATGCAGAGCCTGCGGATGGGTAAGGATGAGCCCGGGGGGGGGGTGGCCCCGGCGGGGCCGGGGCGGCGTGGGGGGTCCCCCGGCTCCCCAGACGAGCTGGGGGTCCCTCCCACACTCGGGTGTCCCCCCGAGCCGCCCCCTCGGCAGCCCCCGAGCCGCTCCCGCGCCGGGGTAACCAGAACCAGCTGCGGGAGGAAACCTGATCCCGGCATCCCGACCCCGGAGGCCGCGGCAGGAATTCCCCCCCCGCGGGGTCCCCCAGCCCCCCGGGCCGCGGCCCTCCCCCCCCCCAGGAACGATCCTTCGTGTTCGGAGCTCCAGGACCCCCGGGGGGGTCACCGCTCCCCCCCCCCCCGCCCCTTCCCCGCGGGGCTCTGCCGCACGAGGAGACACCGGAGAGACATCCCGGTTTGTCCGGGATCAAATATTCATGGCACAGGCGCGGGATACAGGGAAAGGCACTCTCGGAGCAGGTGTAAGGGACGGGAGACATGTCACGGGGGGGAGCGGAGCCCCCCCGGCCCGAATCCCGGGGGGAATGTGGCAATCCCTGTCCCCGACTCCACGGTGTGCCCCTGCCCCGGCTCTTCCCAGGACACGGCATCCCGGAAAGTCGGGATCAGCCTGACCCCAACCCCACGGCTGCTGCTCTTGGGGGGTCCTGGAGCACCCCCTCTGCTGAGCCCGGGGCTCCTGAGCTGCCAGAGGGGTTTAAGGAGCTGCCCTGGGGCGTCCTGGTCTAAACTGGTGGCAATGGGAGGGGGGGTGGGTTTGCTTGGACACCTTCTGGAGAAGGAGAGATGGAGTTTTGTGTTTCCCTGAGGAAAGACCCAGGAGCCTCCTCTGTTCCCAAATCCCTCCAGAGTCCGGCCGTGGGTGGGGGTTGCTCATCCCGGCTCCCATGGTCGGATCCCGGCAGGATCCTGGCTGGAGGGGCAGTCCCAAAGGGCACACATTGGCAGTGCCCGTGGGGTGGACGGTCCCTCCACCTCCCCTGTGCCCCATTCCCACCACACCCCATCCAGAGCCGGCCAATCCCTCGGGAAATGTGGTCCCTCTCCATCAGCTCCACCAACTCCTTCCCGGCCGCCCCCTCCAGCTGGAGCCTGTCCCTGGGCCCTGTCGTGGGCAGTGATTAGTCCCGGTTGTTAATTGGATCCCTGTGTCCCTGGGAGTGTGGGCGGGACGGCCCCGGGGCTCCCCCCATCCTGGCGCTGGGGTGCGTGGGGGTCCCCAGGCTGGAATTCTGCTACCAGAGCAGCTGGGGGGTCACTGAGGGGACAGGGAGGGGCCAGGGGGGCTCCAGGGGGAGGCAGAGGAGGAGGCAACAGGAGCCTGTGCCCAGCACCTCATGGATCCCTGGAGTACGAGAGAGCAGGAGCCCCCCGGAGCCCCCCACAGAGGCTGAACCCCCATATCTTGGCATCACCGCGGCTTCCAGGGTCTCCAGCAAACTGGGATGTTGTGGGACACGGCTGGGGCTCCCGGGAACTGGGGCTCTGTGGACTTAGAACAGACACTCAGCAGCTCGGGGCAGCTCTTTCCCAGTTTTCCCCCATTCCCACTGGACACAAGCCTTAAAGCTGCTTGCCCAGAGCAGCTTCCCCATCCCTGGGAGTGTCCAAGGCCGGGTTGGATGGGGTTTGGAGCAACGTGGGATAGTGGGAGGTGTCCCTGCCCGTGGTGGGGGTGGAATGAGGTGACCCGTGAGGGTTCCTCTCCGCTCCAACCATCCCACAATTCCATGATCCTGTGACCCTCACGTTTCCCTCCCACCTTTCTGGCTCACCCAGGGAGTCTCCGGGGTCAGTGGGGATGAACTGGGATTGCAGGACCCCGGAATTATTTTACCCAGCAGGGGAAAAGGCCGAGGGTCTCCTCCCCCTGTGCTGGTTCCTGGGCTCCTGGAAAGGGGATGGAGATGTTGAACCCGGGGATGGAGGTGTTGAATCCTGCTCACCCAGCCCTGCCCTCACCAGGAGCTGATCCCTCATTAACAATCATTAACAATCATTAACAATATTAGTAACTAACCTTGCTAATTACCCAGTGCTGATGAGACCCTCACACGGGGGTCACGGGGGGTGGGAACCCCCCCAGCCCTGTGAGGGGCCCCCGCAGTGACTCTGCCCCCTCAGCCCAGGGTGTGACTCCCTTGTTGTCCTCCCCTCGGGGAAGGGTCTCCGGGGGGGTCTGGGGTCCCTTCCCACCCCAAAGTGCCCTGTGTGTGTCCCCAGGAGCCAACGGTGAGCGCTGCCCGACGCCCACCCCCCCCTGGCACACCCGGCACCCCCCACGAGAGCTGCAGCATCGCCCCCCTGACGCCCTCCCAGTCACCCGTGAGTCACTGGGAACCAGCACGGCTGGGGGGGGCACAGCAGGGCCACTGGGGGGGCACAGCAGGGCCATTGGGGGGGCACAGCAGGGCCACTGGGGGGGCACAGCAGGGCCACTGGGGGGGCATAACAGAGCCACTGGGGGGGCACAGCAGGGCCACTGGGGGGGCACAGCAGGGCCATTGTGGGGTCCCAGTAGGGCCATTGTGGGGTCCCCAACGGGGCAGTTGTGGCGTTCCCGGTAAGGTGGTTGTGGCTTCCCAGTATGGCCATTGTGAGGTTCCCAGTAACACTGTTGTGGGATCTCCAGTAGGGCCATTGTGGGATTCCCAGTAACGCTGTCAAGGTCCCCAGTAAGGTGGTTTTGGGGTTTCCAGTAAGGCCATTCTGGGGCCCCCAATAAGGCAATCGTGGGGTCCCAGTAAGGACATAATGGGGCCCCCAGTAAGGCAGTTGTGGGGTCCTCAATAGGGCAGTTGTGGGGTCCCAGTAAAGCCATTGTGGGGTCTCCAGTAGGGCCATTGTGGGATTCCCGGTAATGCTGTTGAGGTCCCCAGTAAGGCAGTTTTGGAGTCCCCAATAAGGCCATTGTGGGGTCCCAGTAAGGCAGTTGTGAGGTCCCCAGTAAGGCAGTTGTGGGGTTCCAGTGAAGCAGTTGTGGGTTCCCAGTAAGGCAGTTGTGGGGTCCCTGGGGGCTGTCGGGCTCTGTGTCCCTGTCCTTGCCCCCCAATCCCCCCCCGGCCCCCGCTCCCCCCCCCCCCCCCCCCCCCAGTCTGGCCGCCCTCACCCCCCAGTACCACAGGACGGGCCAGTCCCTCTCCAGGACCCTCGTCCGTGGGATTTCGGGGATTTCGGGGTTTTCCAGCTCGGGATAAGTGTCACCGCAGAGCCGCTGCCCCCAGGCCGCTCCTGCCCGGGGTGGGAGGGCACGTTCCTGCTCCTGCCGGCTCCTCCCGGCACATTCCTGCGGCAGCCGCCTCGTCCCCGCCGATCCCGCTTTTCCAGGGCCGGCTGACGGCTGCACTTAGCAAACCCGGGACATTAAATGTTAACGAGGGCTTTTAGCTTCCCATGTCTGCCGTGCGCGGAGGTGACACGGATCCGGCGCCTGTCACATCGGCACGGATCCACCGGGACGTGCCAGGCGGGAAGGGACGGCACGCGGAGCGGGGACAGGGAATCCAGCTGGGGGAGCAGCAGCGGGGACCCCACAAAACACCCGGGACAGGAAGGGTTTGGGTTGGGTGACCCTTGGGGACAGCTGGGACAGGGAGTGAGATGG